AAAAATATAGTGCATTGGCAGAAAGTTTTTGGACAGCGATGTTGTTGACCCAGAAACAGCGCTGTCAGGCCAAAACTGCCATCTTCAAAGGCAAACCCAAACAGCAATGTTCTAGTATGGAACATCGATGTAGAGACCTGACCGTTGGAAGAAATTTAAGGCTAAAACTTTCCTTGTTTGGAAGTCAACAACCAAAACAGCGATGTAGGGGTTGTTGGACATCGCTGTTGGCATGACCGTTGCTTCCCAATTTTTAAAATCAAGCCTAGAACAGCGATGTCCAGCATAGGACAGCGCTGTCTAGGTGAATTTCAGCAGATCCAATTTTAATCAAAACCCACAAATTGTGCCAATCACCCCTTAAATGTGTTGGTCCGTTGGAGCCTTTCTTTCCACTATAAAATGGGGTGTTTTGGGTCTGTGTTACACATAACATTACTTCACAACTCCTACTCTTTCATTGCAAATCATTCTTTAATTATTCATAGCTTTTGAGAGCCATTTTTTTGAAGCTTGTGTTGTGTTCTTGAGCGTTCTTAGTTTACTCATTATCCACTCTAAAAGAGAGTATTGTTCTTGAGTGTTTCTAGTGTTCTTAGACACTTGACAAGAGAAAGTGTTTCTCTTGCTGTTCGAAGGAAGGGCTGTTTCCTTCGAAGGTTTGTAGGGGTTCGTGTGACTCGAATTTTCAAGTTGTACGGGTTTGTTAAGCACCGTTAAGCTTAACGAGATAGTAGTGTAGCTCGAGAGAGTCTCTCGGGAGACTGGATTAGCCACACGTTGTGGTGAACCAGTATAAATCTTGGTGTGCTTCCTTTACGCTTTCTACGCTCTTTACGTTTCACGTTCTTAATTTTTTATTCCTACGATTTCTACGATCAAACGCTATTCACCCCCCCCTCTAGCGTTGGTCACATTTTCTAACAGTGGATGCTCCAAGCACGAAACCTAATAATTTGTATCAAGGGGAGTTTGGGGGAATTGTTTTTGCTATAAACATGGTATCAGTTTCAGGGGGAACATACAACAATGATGTTTTGTATCAAACATCAATGCTCAGGGAGTACTTTTTTTTAAACTTTACTTAGTGCTTTTTGCTAATACCAAAAGAGGGAAGTGTTGGGTATATGCAACAAGTGAGGGGGAATCTTGTTTTCAAAGACGTAGGGGGAATTACCATTACTCTCTCTTTGAAAACCCAAATTGGCCTGCATATCCCCTCCTTGGTTTGTCATTATCAAAAAGGGGGAAATTGTTGGAAAACATTTTCACTTTGACATTTTGCTAATGACAATGTTTGTTTCCGTTTAGGTTTTGATATTAACAAACCGTCGGGAACATGGAACAAAATGAAAAGATAGAAAAAGTTCTTTGAAGAAACAAAAAGCACAAGAACGGCATTGACTTTGCTAAAGATGGCGACATTGGCGCTTTGAAGACGTATTCTAAAGACTTAGGTTTTGATAATGCCAAACCGCCGCGACATATCAAAGCTAAAGTGAGCAAAACTAAGGCAAAGGAACATGGCATGATGACTTGAGAACCAAGAACCCAGAATCAAGAACGAAAAATTAGAATTGCATTGAGTCGGTCTTAATGTGATCAAGACCGGCACAAAATTCCAAATCTTGGCTCTCTAGGCTCAATTCATAAAAATCTCTTTTACATGTTCAAAAATATTTTTCTTAAGTTTAAACTTGGGTAAAAACACTTGGAGTTCGCCCAAACCAAAAACCAAGCCATCCGGCGTTCGGTTTTCAGAAACCGGCGTTCGGCAAGACACTTGACAAGAGAAGGTATTTCTCTTGTTGTTCGAAGGAAGGGCTGTTTCCTTCGAAGGTTCGTTGAGGTTCGTGTGACTCGAATTCTCATGTTGTACGGGTTTGTTAAGCACCGTTAAGCTTAACGAGATAGTAGTGTAGCTCGAGAGAGTCTCTCGGGAGGCTGGATTAGCCACAAGTTGTGGTGAACCAGGGTAAAATCGGTGTGCCTCTTTACTTCTCGTTTATTCATTTTTTATTCCTGCGATTTCTTGATCAAACGCTATTCACCCCCCCTCTAGCGTTGGTCTATTATTCTAACAATTATAAGCATCTCCTTTGGATCCACGTCACTATCAGAGTCACCGTCAACACTATGGAAAGTTGGAAAAGCACAGCACGTTCCAGCACTGTCTTTAACACACTGCTTCTCTTTTTCAACGAGGATGACATGCTGTCTTTTACGTCGTAGATCTTCATGCATCTCCAACTCAATGGTTTCTAAGTTCCCCATCAGCTCGTCATGAGACATAACATTGAGAGATTGTGTTTGTCTAATAGCTTTAACATCCATAGAGTGTTTTTCTAGAAGAGAACGTAGCACTTTCAACACCAGCTTGTTTTCTGTAATTTGTTCACCAAGCCTTTCAGTCTTATTGCCAACTCTCTAACCCGCCCATGAAAATTTGTGATAGACTCAGCATCCTCCATCTTAAGATTTTCAATTTTGGACATCACAATCTGAAGTTTGGCAGTCTTGACTGTTGTAGTGCCTTCATGAGTAATAAGCAAAATATCCCAAGCTCTCTTGGCCTCTGTGCAGTTTGAGATAAGACGGAACTGGTTTCTGTCAACTGCTCCGAAGATTGTATTCAAAGCCTGATCATTCGATTCAGTAGCATCCTTTTCTTTCTTGCTGAATCTCTCATAAGGTTTCTGAATTAGTTCTCCATCTTCATTTGTCATAGTAGGAGCTGACCATCCGACCTCTATGCTTCTCCAAACCTGTCCACCAAGAGACTTGAGAAAGGCTCTCATTCGACACTTCCAAAAAGTATAATCATGGCCGCATAATAGTGGAGGTCTAAAAACATTAGCACCTTCTTGAATATCTCCCATGGTGATAGATCGATAAAGCTAATAAATTAAGCTTGCCAAGCTCTGATACTAATTGTAAGTTCGTGGGGGCGCAGCGGAAATCACCGATTAAGAGCTATGCAAACAAAACAACCAGCTCTGGTGCAGAGAAGATGCTGCAGCACTGTCTAGTAACAGATGACAGACAGTGTGCTATAACACTTCTCTGTCACAAGCACACACGTAAAATATGAAGTAAAAAACAGCAAGCAAGACACCAGAATTGTTCAAGCAGTTCGGAGCAAATTCTCCTACGTCTGCAAGGCCCACGTCTATGTAATAGCTCTTCCACTAAATCACCGTAAGAATTACACAATCAATCAGAACAGAACCTTCTAATGTATTGATTTGTCTACTTACAAAATGACTTGACGACAAACTCGGTTTGCGTCTCTCTCCACGGCTTGTTACACCTTCTCAAAGATCTTCTTCAAATAAAGATTCTCCTTGATCTACTAAAATATGCAGGCTGATTCGAAGCTCATAAATCAAGATTGAACCGTTGAAATTAGATCTCCACCGTTCAGAGTTAAACTTCACGAGTCCTTAGACTCCTCCTTAAATTTCAGCACGATCAGACAAGATTTGGTACTCCAACCAACAAGAAAACCAGGGCTGCGTTTTCTGCAAAAAATCAGCAATAATGTGTAGATTGTAACTTTGATAACAGAAGATCCGTAACTCCGATTGATGTGAAATTTTAACACTTTGAAGATCTATGTGTTGAGAACACCCTCTGAAAATTTCAGCAAAATCCAACGGTCGGAGCTTTGGCGATGATCAAATCTGTGCGGCTGTCCAGAAATTTTCACTGTCTAACTTTGCACCTTGTTTTCCTATTTGATCGAATTTGATTCTGGTTTTTGTAGTTTTTGCACGTCCAAAACCCTAAGGCAGGGTGAAGATATTAATAGAATAGAATAGCCATGTTAGAGTGTGCTTAGGAGTCTCAACTATCTCTTCCTCCTTAAGAATAGCAAACCAAGTAGGATTAGAATTCTCTCTTCAAGCTCTTTCCTCTTTCTCTTCTTTCACATGCTAGGACTCTAAGTCTAAATAAAACATCTAAAAAAATTCTAGATAAATCCATTCGTTTGTCAAAAAATAATGCCAACACAATATGGAACTAACAAAATGTACTAAGTGGATGAAAACCAAATTCCTCCCATTTTGGTGAGGAAAATGAGAGAAAATCAATTTCTTTTCTTTTCTTTCCTAAATCCTTGAACCAAACATAGTGTAAATGATTCACTCACCTTAATAATCCTTATCGAAAAGAGGAGGGCAACCAGCAGCTCTGGATGAAAAACAATTCCAAATAAAATGAGAGTAGCAGCCTAGTTCTATCTATGGTTTCATGAAAATGATACGGCACAAATAAAAATCACACTTAAAAGCTAACTATTAAGGTGAGAAAGTCTTTAATTATATAAATCCTTCACCAGCTCCCCATCTGACCTGTGTAGGACTCTTACCCTGGAATCATCCGTAATATTCGACCCCCCATAAAGCCCAACCACCTTGTTGGTCATGAGTAGTTTCACCATACCACCAGTCCGAGTTGGCTCTAATACTATAATACAACACAAGAGAGAGCCACACCCAAAAGTTTGTTTTTTAAAGTTTAAACTCTTAACTTTCAGTTTCTTCCAATTTTTTCTAGTTTCTTTTCGTTTCTTCTAGTTTTTTTTTTGTTTTTTTCCATTTTCTTACAATTCAATCCAACTTCTTCCAATTTTTTTTAGTTTCTTCCACTTTTTCTACTTTTTCCAACTATTGTCAGTTTCTTGAATCTTTTTCTACTTCACAAATGACTCTTAAAATGCTGTGTTTTTCATGTATTATTATTAATATTATTACTATTATCATTATTATTGTTATTATTATTAATATGTTCATAACTATAGCTTATTTTTCAATTTTTATTTTTTCTCGTGTCACTTTTTGTGATTCACACTCATTATTATTTTTCTTTCATTTTAATATGAACAATTCATGGATTCAACTAGATTGTTGTTTAATATCAATAATACAGAGTACAATTTTTTGGGAGAAATTCTTTTAAATTTATATGACACTAAACAGTATTCAAAAAATTAAGAACATTTTATTAATCTAAAAATTAAGAAAAAACATCAATACTTTAGATTAAATAACAATAATTATATTCACCCTCTATCCCAATTGAATGCATGCACACGATTCACGTAGTCAAATTTTATTCATTTTCTTTGCTTATTATATATGATAGTTATAATAATAATAATAATAATAATAATAATAATAATAATAATAATAATAATAATAATAATAATAATAATAATAATAATAATAATAATAATAATAATAATAGTAATAATAGTAATAATAATACCCAATAATAATAATGTTCATAATAACAATAACAACAATAAAAATTATAATAAGAATCATACACTACTACAAAAATGACCAAATAAATCGCCCCATTTGCATTGTTAAGCAAAACAAATGATGTAAATGGTAAAAAAAATTCGCGTATCGCTTAGCTTTTGGATCGGTTATTCTTAATAACCGATTCAAAAGGTATTTGAATCGTTTATTAGGGATAACCAATTCAAAAGCTAAGACTCTTTTGGATTGGTTATTCCTAATAACCGATTCAAATACCTTTTGAATTGGATATTATGAATAACCGATCCAAAAGCGATGTACCCAAGCTTAGGAAAAGACTATGGATAAATAAGGGCAGATTATAGAGGGGAATATATGATGAAGAATATGTTGGATTTGAGTATAAAATGGTGAAGATAGTATGGCTGTTTGGAAAAGGTGATATGGCAGAATGAAGGACAGGAGAAAAGAAATATTATGGAGTGGTATTTGATGAAGAGATGAAGTGTTTAAATGGGGGAAAGGGGATGGACGAAATTGGGAGAGAAAGAAGGGAGTTTTGTGGTGGTTTTCTGGTTGTATAAGGATAAACCAAATAATGAATAAGAGATAAACACACTCTTATTTTATTTGGGGCTATTTCTTTTCACACAATAATATTCACTACTATTATATGAAATAGACTCCTAACACACACTCAAAAGTAGCCAACTTTAGAGATATTTCATTAGGAAATGGGGAGAACTAGCTTCACACTAATTCAAAGATTTTACTCAAAGAGTAAAGGGAATAAAA